TCTGATGAACCATGAAGAAGTTATGCCTTGGTCAATTTACAGTTGACTTTTCAGCTGTCCAAAAATAGAAACTTTTGACACCTTGAGACCTTTTGAGCCATTCTTGTGGAATCATGGTAAAGACTTGACCAAATGATGATTGTGGCTTCAAAATAAGATGTTGACCAAAATTTTTGACTTTTGACTGTCAAATGACCATTTTGCCCCTACAGTTGACTGTGAAGCATTTAGGGTTTTTGACTGTGCAATTTGATGCTGTGAGTCTTGAAACTTGACATATGGATGCTTGACAATGTATATAGGCATATGGTACTTGATTGGATCCTTGAAAACCTCAATTTTTTTGCAAGAACCAAAACCCTAATTTTGACTGGCTTAGGAGGATGGTTGACTGTGTAGCCCTTGAGTAGACCTTGAACCATTTGCTTGTCATAACTTTGAAGATTATGGGAGGGCAAATTTTGGGGTACAACACGTCATTATTGCTTTTATTTCACCACTTTGATTCGTAGTCTGTTGTCTTTATCTTTGCGACTTTGATTCGTAGTTTGTTGCTTTATTCGTAGTCTGTTGATTCGTAGTCTCTTGTCTTTATCTTCGTGAATTTACTGCATGGTTTTGATTGATTTAGCCACACACCTACCCCTTATTCGTGTATAACCTTTGTGGTTAGGAAGAATAACCGCATACCCAAAAGAAAAGAAGGCGGTGATTAAAAAAATCATTTGATTTTCTTACTCTCCTTAGCAGCTAGCAGGAAAGGAGTCTATCTATCTGCCTAGTTTTGGTAGATTTCCCCAACGCACCCCATAATTTATTTAAAACTTTATTTATCACCAATTAAGAGATATTACATGATAATGAAAAACACATTTTACATATATTGAATAAAGATACTTAACCAAGCAACTAAGCCACAACTTATTGATCTATGGGCAACTTAGTTTGGCATATCTTGGTTGGCCTCAACCTTTCTTTGCAGTTGTCTCTTGCAATTATCATTAGTTATTCATGTCATACCTAGTGGGATGACCAATCACCTTATTTGGTGTCTGGTTGTCATTTTTCCCAATTTCTTGATGAGGGAGACTGTGTTGATCTCCATTGTGTTCTCTTCATCTTTTTAACCTCTGTCGTGCTGCAATGCTTTGTCTATCCTCCAGGATTTGACCAAATCAACACATATTGTTACCGGCTCATCATGGACATTATGATATTTCATATTTAGGTGGAGTGGAGAGGATATCACGTCTAATGTCAGCACAAAATATCTTCTTAGGATGAAATTGAAGTCGCTCTTATAAAGGACTAACAAAAAAAATTATAAATCGACCTTCGTTGTGTCTCTTACCTTTCCAAGTGTGACCATTAGTATGATGTATCCCCTACAGCGAGTTACTTTGTCGTTAAAGGCTTGTAGGTATGATTTGCGGTATGGTGACAACTTCTCCCTCTTTAGCCATATCTTCTCAAAAAGCTCCATATACATGATATCATACGAGCCCCCCTGTCTATAAGGATTATAGATACACCAAAGTTGGACATAGTCGCTTTTATTACCAGGGGAAAATTTTCATTTGGGATCCCACCCACTTTTTAGTTATTGTGGAACCCGAGGATAGGTATCTCTTGCTTCCCTTCAAAGTCGCATCTCCTTCTTTGCTGACTGCCATTAGATTGATGATTCTTCTTTTAATGTTGCCCTTGAACGGGTTCCTTGACTTGGGAAGGCCTCCACTAATGTATGTGATATATTGGTTCTTCCCTTTCGATCTTTTTCTTCTTCTTCACTACTACTACCTTTCTTGCCTTTGGCCCTACTCATGACCTCTATAGTCTTCTTAGGAAATCCATTTTTCGGGAGAGGGATTGTTTCTTTCTTTGTCGGTTATATTTTAGACCACTCCCTGGGTGTACTGGGCGAGTCTACTATTCTTCACAGGCTTTTCAATTGGTCTTTCAAATGGACACATCCATTGGTGTTATGGTCGTGTCTCTCATAAAAACCACAAGACCTTGTTTTGTCACTTGTGGCGAATTCGTCGACCGAATATGAGTTTCTTGTCCCAACTTCCATGAAGTCAGTATTTGGGCAATCCTCTATCCCCATCGTCTCGATGAAAGTTATTGTCTTTCTCTAGCCCCTAGCAGTTTCCTGGGTGTCCATCTCCCCAACCTTTTTTCACCTCTTCAACCAATAGTTCTTCCTCATGATTGATGTAGGGTTATATGCTTGTTAAAATATCATTTAAGCTATATTCCTTTATATCCCTAACTTATCGCGAAACATACAATTCAGTCTTAGTCCCTTTTTAGACATCCAAAATTTTAATTTGTCATTCGTTCCCCTAACTTCCACTACTACTTCTCTAAATTGATTGATGTATTCTTATAAGGTCTCATTCTTCTTCTTTTGAATTCCAATGAGTGCGACTATCTAGTGGGTTATCCCTTTTGAGAAATGGATTGAGCGGCAAAAAAGTCGCAAAGTTCCCTCAAGGAGTTTACACTTCCATTTGGGAGGGCTTTGAACCATGTCAACGTAGCTCTTTTGAAGGTTTACACGGACAATTTTCATTTCACATCCCCAAGACATGCTATTAATGAGTATATTATGTACATGCTTGATATGCTCATCCAGGTCTTCCGAGCTATCATAGTTGTCCAATTTAGAAGATTTCTCAAGAGATTTCAGGATCATACTCTCGAGGATGCACCTCAAGAACGAGTTCCTATTTTATCGAGGAGCTTTCACTTTAATGGCGTACATTTCCTCTCTTAAAGAGTAGTATGGCGACGAGTGAAGGTGACGACATATCTCTAGTGGAGTGTGACCTCCTCTTTCCGCAGACTTGTGCGGCGAGGTGCAGTTTTCTCAACATTAGGTACGATTTGTGAATCTAAGGTCATCTTTGCGTAGGGAGAATGATTTAATACATATTAGTTATGGCTCAACCCATGCATTGTCGCGAGAGGCCTCGTTCTTAGAATGATCTATAAGAAGAATATATTGCAAATTTTATTTGATTCTAAGTACTCTTTCATCTAACAAGTGTGAATTTAATTGTTGCATATAGCTATAGACATTGTTAATGAGATTATCCTCACCTTGCTTGCCTAAAGACTTACATCTGTTGAAGGATCTAAAGTATCTCTTGTTTGGGAATCTGCGGTTGCAAAAAAGCTTTCTTTGAAGTTTGACCTTGGAGTGGTTGTTCGAAAGAAAAAAATGAAAGAACTTGGAAAATTCCTTGTTCGGTCGCCGGAGGGTCTGGATCTTGTTGTCTAGGAGCTGGAATAGAAGTCATCAGGATATGATTGTCCTCAACAATATGAGGTAGCAGAGTCTCCCTAGCGAGATCGATAATGTTGACGGTTACAGTGGCCGCACCATTGGTGTTATGTTGAATATTTGATTGAGTAGCTCTCGATGTTGCCGTTGTTTCAAGAGTTTGATCTATGTTTCAAATGAGGAGAGAAAGAGACCAGAGCTTGCCGAATTACGGTGAAAAAATAGTGATTTTTCGTAGAACTTCACAAAATCCAGACGTTGATTCCGACAGACAATAGTGTGTGCACACAATGGAGAACAAAAAACTTCAACGTCTTCATATTGTTATCTAATATTATTTTGTTTCTTGAATTTTTATAAAAAAACTCAAATTTATAAATAATGTAATAAATAATATACAAAAGTTGTTATTTTAATAAGATATTATAATTTAATAGTTAATTTGATCTATAATCCATGTATGTAGTAAATTATCTAAAGCTTTGTTTTTTATCAATATTTAAGGCTTTGTTTAAATTGATGAAACGAGTTGAAATGAAGTGGTATGAAATGAAATTGAGTGTTATTCTATTGTTTATGTTCTATGAAATATTTGATGACAAAATGAAGTAGGACTACATTGAAGTGTGCTTTCGATACAATGAAGTGGTGTGGACTTGCAAGGCTAACACTTCAACACCCAAGTCAATGAATGAATGAGAAATATATGAGTGTGAGAATAAGTAGAACTCCTGAGTCTTGCCGTGTGAAAAACTTTTTATAAAGAGAGCAGTTAGAACCTCTTTCGCTTTATCATGTGTCTTGTGCAAACCACTATTCGATTAGATCTGACGTGGAAAGTTGATAGAAAGTTAGAATTCTGTGCTCAGAACTTGAGCGAAATTGTATTTATTCTTTTGTGCTTTCTTTTAGAACCCTTGTTTTTGAGTCCTATCATACGAGTCTTGTGAGCGACCCAAAATAGTTTAGACTAGTTGAAATCAAGTTAGGTCGGACGAAATTGAATTATCAATTTCTTTATGTTTCATCACTTAATATTATATTTTTTCCACTCTGATGTGGAATAATAATTAGTCTTGTTTTTATCGTAAATACTTAAAAGAAGGAGAAAAAATTGGAAAAATAAAAGACAAAAAATTCAAATATAGATATAAAATATATATTATACTAAAAAAATAATATAGATATGGATTTTTCCTGAATAATATGTAAATTTGTTTTGATTTGGTAGAAAAACTTACATATGAATACAAAAATATATATAATATAAAAAATATTTAATTTAATGTAAATTTTCACACATCTATTTAAAATCACTCACATCTTATTTAAATTATGTATTAAAATATTCTAAGAAATATTTAATTTACATAATATGATTGAACACATGACTAAAAATAATTAAAGTCATGAATAAAAATATTTGAAATATTTTTTAAATATAGATGTAATTATGTTATATCAAATAAATATTTATAGAGATATATTAGAAGATAGGAGATTTCCTCGAAATTGAAAGAAATGTTATATTATAAAAAAGATATAAACGAAATTTCCTAAAATTTTGTTACAAATATCTATATATACGATAGAAGACTTATGAAAGTCGTCTTCCCTATTATTGCCTTACAACCTTCGTTCCTGGGCTCTCCGTTCAACCAATCTCTTCCAAATTTCAGTAACGCTTTTTTGTTTTCTACTCTCTGCGATGGGTTTCGATCTTGAAGAGAAAGCCAAAGAAGCTTTTGTTGAAGACCACTTTGAGTCGGCGGTTCAACTTCTCACTCAAGCCATTGCTCTTGATCCTACCAAACCTGAACTCTATGCTGATCGTGCTCAAGCCAACATCAAACTCAATAACTTCACCGGTTTCTCTCTGTTTCTAGTTTCACTTGTTTTTCTTCTGTTATTTACTAGGTTTTTTTATTCTTACATAATAAAATTTTTTTTGTGGCACTTTTCTTGTTTAGAGGCTGTTGCTGATGCTAACAAAGCTATCGAGTTGAATCCTTCCCTATCAAAGGCATATTTGCGCAAAGGGTAAATACATTTTTTTTCTCACGTACCCATTCTATATTTTGCATAGAATATATATATGACTTTCGGTGCAGTAATGCATGTATGAAGCTTGAGGAATATCAGACTGCCAAGACGGCTTTAGAGACCGGTGCCTCATTGGTTGCAGACACATCAAGATTTGTTAATTTGATCAAACAATGCGATAGGCTCATTGCAGGTCAACTTGTTTTAGGTTTTTGTTTGAGTTTATAAGTGACTGATCATTGTATCTTGACGGTTGAAAACTGACATGATTTTGGATGACACTGTCTTAAACAGAAGAGTCTTGTACTCAGGAAAAGTCCACCACTGCACAGGATGCAACTCCAAAAGTCGTTGTTCTAGAGAAAGATCTCTTAGAGGAGCCCGCAGTGGCGCTAACTAAGCCTAAATATAGGTTAGTAGTATTAGTAGTATTCTGAATGTTTATGTTCTTTGCTAGGGTTATTGGTTTCTCTTTTTAACACGGCTTTTGTGCCATTTCATGAACCAACCAATTTCTTCTAAAGGTAGATACTAATCTGTGAAATAAATTATGCAGGCATGGATTTTACCAGACACCTCAAGAAGTGGTTGTCACAATATTTGCAAAGGGGGTCTCCAAAGAAAGCATTACTGTCGACTTTGGTGAACAAATAGTATGGTTTACATTATAATAATACTTACTTGTAGTTTTTATGCTTGCTTTTTATTAAAATTCTATACATCTTGGTTGAACAAGTTGGATTTAACAATCTATAAGCTTATGTGTTTATCTTTTCTTTTGTAGCTAAGGATCAACATTGATGTCTCTGGAGAAGATGCATATGTTTTTCAATCTCGCTTATTTGGAAAGGTATCAACGGGAGTTCTCCATTGTTTTTATTTGTTACATTCCCTTTTATCGGAAGATTCACATTTAAATTTCTTACATTGTTTTGTAATTGTATATAAAATGTTAATATGTGGTTATCTTCAATCAGATCATACCTTCCCGATGCCGGTATGAAGTTATGTCCACCAAAATTGAAATTCGCCTTGTCAAAGCAGAATCTATTCACTGGAAGTCCCTAGAATTCACCACAGAAACTGCAGTTGCACCAAGGGCTATTGCCTCTTCAGGTGATTTCAGATTTATCTACAGGTTTTACGACTCATTGCTCTTTGGTGATTTATCTACAGTTTTCATCCCATAACATTGATTTTACAGTTACCGGAACTCAAAGACCTACTTACCCGTCCTCAAAACCAAAAAGAGTAGATTGGGATAAGCTAGAAGCTCAAGTTAAGAAAGAGGTTTGTCTTCTGTCTATAAAAGAGATTCATCTATTTATATTTTAGTGCACTTGTTTCTCCTAAACATTTTGTCATTTCAGGAGAAAGATGAAAACCTTGATGGCGATGCTGCACTGAACAAATTTTTCCGGGAAATATATTCTGATGCTGATGAGGATACAAGAAGAGCAATGAAAAAGTCATTTGTAAGTTTTGTTTTAATTTTCTATATTCGATTGATCCTCGCTATATGATAAGTTTTATAATCGTTTTATTATATGTTTGAATTTGTTTGTAGGTGGAGTCGAATGGAACAGTGCTGTCTACAAACTGGAAGGAAGTGGGTACAAAGAAGGTTGAAGGAAGTCCTCCAGATGGCATGGAGTTGAAGAAATGGGAATATTAATATCTTTTCTAAGTTAATATGTTTTGGAAATTTGGATGCATAATTTTGTTTACATAACTGGTGAACAAAAGTAGTAAACCTTTTTTTCTGGTTTTTTTGAGTTTTCATGACTTCATTGGTGGCTCATTTTTCTCTCTGTTTGGTGAATACAATGCACATTCTGATTTATGTGTCATTCTTCTATTTCAACTTTCTATTATATATTTGTGTCTGGCTTGTATTATTATAAGTATAATAATACAATTTTTTAACTTTCTAAATGGATGCAATTTTTTAAAATTATGATATAAATATTTAACATAAAGAAATAATCAATATATTTTTCAATAAAAAAACTATATAAAATAACTATATTTAAAAAAATTACGGTTACACTTGTAAGTAGCTGGTATCCTTTAAATCTTATCTGTTCTTTTATTTAACTTTTACCAAAAATAATTAGTTAAGTTTAGGTTTATTTATTAATCTATATTTAGCACTCTGTTAATGCAATAATGGTATTACACATCCAAATCCACGAAACAAAACTCTATTAGTTGTCTATGACTAGTATTTACTGGAGATTCAACATTTCTAACGAGAAACATAACAGAATGTTGTATAAAAATCAAAATGTTAATGATTAAGAGAAGAAAATTAATCAAAAGAAATATTTAGCAGCATGTCTTCGAAACAAAATGACACGAATGTTTACTTTAATACATGCATAGACCTGCCACCGCGGGTGAATTCCGAGGTACCATGGTGGAAAATTACAAATTCAAACACGAGTTTAGCAAATCCTTTGCCAGTGTTGCAGATGTTGCAGATGCAAATGTGTTTGATCTTTTTCGCAACTCTTTTGCTTAAATCGATCTTGTCTCGTTTTGGAATCCACAGGTTCACTTCTATGAGCATTGTAAGTATTTATTTTTTGTCTGTCATGTTCATGTCTGTGTTCATGTTTCTTCGACAAAACATTAATTAACACATGGTAATTGTTGTTTAATGTTAGGTTGGTCTTATCTTCGCAGCAACATTCGATAAAGAGTGGACGAAAACGATGAAGACAATGTTCTTCTTTGATTCACAGGAAAATCTAGGACTAATTTCAATATTTGGTTACATGATGTTCCTGTTTTACATTGGAGTAAAAACAGATATGAGTGTAGTCCATAAAACTAGGAGTGGTACCACCAACCTTGGTGCTTTAGCTATAATGGCTCCTTTTCTATGTGGCATGGCTACTCTAAGTTTTTTCTCATCAAAACACCTTCAATCTGACGAAACAAAAATACTTGGAGTTGTCATTGGATTGTTCTCTATGACCCCTTTCCCTGTAATCTCCTCAACTTTGAGTGATCTCAAGATCCTGAACTCTGAATTGGGTCGAATCGGGCAATCAGCGTCATTAGTCAGTGAAGTTTTCAGCGTGTTCATAGTATCAACACTAACATTTGGTAAATTATACGAAAATTATGGTTTAGCGAGAGCGTTGATTTGCGCTGTGGCTGCTATCTTGTTTATACTCTTGGTTATATTCATTATCCGACCGTCCATGTTTTGGATTATAAAACAGACACCAGAAGGTTATCATGTGAGTGATAACTATGTTTATAGCGTACTCATATTAGCCTTGTTATCATCCTATGCTTCATCTAGATTTGGATTTTTCTCACTCTTTGGACCTTTTGTATTGGGAATGGCTATTCCTGAAGGACCTCCGTTAGGCACTGCTATTATTAAGAAAATTGATACTTTTGTTAATGGGATTTTCATGCCAACGTTTGTGACAACATGTGCAATGAGGGTAGATTTTAAAGACTTGTTGTGTTGGACAAATAAAGTTGATGGAAGTGTTGATTATTTTATGGTGCAAGCTTTGGTTATTGTTACGGTTTGTTTTGTTTCTAAATTTGTTGCTTGTATGATACCTCCTTTACGCAGCGAAATGCCAGTGAGTCATGCTGTTTCTTTATCTTTGATTATGAATAGCAAAGGCATTGTTGAAATGGCTGCACTCTCTGTGGTCAGAGATACTACGGTAAGCATTTTACTTCCTTTCATCATAATATTTTTTGTCGTTGAAATTTTGGTATCTGCGAGACCCCCTTGAGGGGAACACACTCTCAGGACCCGAGCCTTCAGCACTAGGCCAACCCCTGAGGGGTTATTTCACCATAAATATTAATTCAATTCTGTCATCATCATGTTAATATTAATTGAATTCTATATTTGAATGCATGCAGGAGCTACCTAATAACATATTTTCCTTATTAATGGTATGCATCATAGTAAACACCAGTATGATTCCAATACTGTTGGGTTATATGTATGATCCAACAAAGAAGTACACAGGTTACACAAAGAGAAACATAGCAGATATGAAAAGTAACTCAGAACTTAGAGTTTTAGCATGTATTCACAGGCCCGACAACATTCCAGCGACGATAAATCTTCTTGAAGCATCATATCCAACAAAAGAAGGACCGATATGCACATACGCACTTCAACTGATTGAATTAATAGGAAGAGCTTCTCCTATATTCATCAGCCACGAACTTCAAAAAAAGAAGAAATCAAACACAAACACGTCGATGGCAGAGAAGCTTCTAGAATCATTTCAAATATTCGAAAATGAGTTCAAAGGTTGTTTAGTCGTCAACACATTCACAGCCATATCACCAGCCGAAATGATGTATGATGATATCTGTACATTAGCACTCGACAAATTTACATCACTTATCATTCTTCCTTTCCATAGAAAATGGTCGTGCGACGGTAACTCGGTGGAGTTGGAAGACGAGTCGTTGAGGGACTTGAACTTCCGAGTTATGGAAAGAGCACCGTGTTCTGTTGGCCTATTAATCGAAAGAGCACAAATGACACATATATTCTCACTAGAAACACCATATAATGTGTGTTTGTTATTTATAGGTGGGAAAGATGATAGAGAAGCACTTATTTTCACAAAGAGAATGACTAAGAATCCACATGTTAAGCTAACAGTGGTTAGATTCATGAGTTTGGAACCTGGTTCAAAGACTTGGGAGGGTTTACTTGATAATGAGTTGCTGAATGAAATAAAAACAAACAATAAAGTTGGTGATGCTTATGTAAAATATGTTGAGGAAACAGTGAAAGATGGACCTGAAACAATATTGATAATTCGGTCTTTGGTAACTGAATTTGATTTGATTGTTGTTGGGAGACAAGCTGGGATTGAAACACCTCAAACTTGTGGATTGTTGCAATGGAGTGAGTATCCTGAACTTGGTGTTTTGGGAGATTTGTTGGCTTCTACTGATGCTGCTGGTAAAGCATCTGTCTTTATTATACAACAACAAAGAACAGCTATGGATATTTAAAATTTTATCAGGATCACTAATTGTAGTTTTTGTAATCATGGGAATTCAATTCATTTTTTTTAGTTATTCACAGTGTTTAAATCCGATTTTTCTTTTGGAATAATTAGGTATTAAATTTTTTCTCCGCAAATAACCATGTTTCGGAGAAAATTACGCAAATAACCATGTTTCAGAAAACATCACAAGGGAGGAGCGTTAGCGCATCCACTCCCCATTTTGCCCTAGGCGCCATCCCACTTGGCGCCTCCTATCTCTTTTAGCCAAGTGAGATGGCGCATGCACTTTAAAAGTGAGAGGAGGCGCCATCTCACTTGGCTCCTAAGGCAAAATACAATTTTTATAAATAATTCGTCTGTTTATTCGTCATTCCTCACACTTTCTCGCACTGTTCTCTTATTTTTTTTCTCTGTTATTTGCGTCATGACATCGCCCATGATTTTTACCAGAGATGGTTACGTTATTTTCTCTGCCACAAAACCTCCGATGAAAATGAAATTCTGGCATATTCACTCCATGGAGCGTCTGAAGAGGGAGTTGATGCGATGGCTAGAGGGAGACATCGAGGAGGGGGAACAAATTAGAAGGATCCAGCGAAGACGAACAACAACCTCACTTGCGACAGGAAAACCTAATTTTTGGTTGGAGGAAGTCAAAACAGACAACGACGTAATGTTGATGATGCATGGTGTTGTACTCCAAAATTTGTCCTCCCATATTTCTCAACACATGGCAAGTGAGGTCCCCAAGTTGCTCAAGGAAGTCCAAGAGTTGACCAGACAAACTCTCTCCTAAGGCAGTATACCTCAAATTAGGGTTTCATTTTTCATCAAGATGCTTGAGTCCAAAGGATCTCAAATGCCTCCCATTGTCCTAATATGTTCTCAAGATCATCCATGTCAAGTTTCAAGCCTTGCAGAAGAAGTTTGCTCAGTCAGTTACTCAAATGCCTGAAAATCGACTATGCTAGGTCAAAAGTCAACTGTGGCCCACATCCAGTCAAACTTCAAGATTTTTGATCAACATTCTAATTTTAAAGTATTATTCATCATTTGATCAATGGTTGATCATGATTCCTCAAGGATTGCTCACAATTCATCAAAACCCAAAAGTTGCTAAATTAGGGTTTTGTAGGAAAAGTCAACTCAACTTTGACCAAGCATAACTTTCTCATACTTCATCAGAAATGACCCATCCAAAGTTAATTTTTAATAGTATGAAATTCACTGAAATTCATATTCATCTCCCAAGTTCAAAATATGCACTCACAAAAAGATATGAATTTTGACATTATAGGTCATTTTGAAAAGTCAACAAAAACACCTTTTGGGTCAAAGCTTCATACATGAACATGGAAGACTCAATTGAGATTATACCGAAAGGGTTGCTTAGAGGACATCCTAAGATTTCTAAAAAGTCCAAGAACACCTCTCTAGGGTCAAAATTGAGAGAGTTATGCATTGACCAAGTTGACCTTTTTTGCAAAATTGCCAAAAGACAAATGTGCTCAAATTTGCATTTTTTTGTCAAATGGGCCTAGTTTTTCATGATTGAATCTTATTTATCACATGGTCCACGATCCAAATCAGCACCCACACACCTTTTTCTTTATTTATTTATTTTATTTTGATTTTTTATCATTTAAAAATCAAATTAAATCAAATAAATAGTAAAAAATATCAAATATTTGTTTTGTGATCAGATTTTGGGTGGAATCAAATCCAATTATGCTGGAAAATCATATCCAAAACGTGCAAAAAACAAATTGAACCAAAATTGGCCTGATTTGGCTTGATATAGAAAGATATCATACAAAGATAAAGACCAAATCAAATCTTCATAATGGACCAAGATTCAGCTCATTTTTGTTGACCTAATGTGTTGCATTACATATACATAACATAGCCAAGACAAGAAAAAGAGGGGAGAGGTCGTGCATAGTCAAGAACAAAACTCAAAAAATTCAAGAAAAAGTGGTGATCCAATTTCCATCCTAGAGGCCAATTCAAGCCATTCTCACAATACCAACAGACTCCTGGACATCTCCAGAAGGGATTTCAATCAATTGCAAGCCTTTTCACACCTGGAATCGTAAGTACAGAGGTCACGGTTTGTCCCAAAAACTGGATTTCGTTTTCATTGATTTACGCATCATTAGCACGTTTGATCAATATATTCTTGTTTATCTTTAAGTTTGTAAGCTTTTGGTATTGTTTAATTGCGTTTTTAGTACAGGAATCAGGATACGCCATTGTTAGGGTTTCTTGGTTTGTTTTAGGGCTTTGCAGTATAGGCTAAATTGGGCTTGGATTCTGGTACCATGATACTCGTGAGGATGAGACGAGTTGATTGGTACCTTTGAATTTCATTTATGTTGCTTGTAGAGAATTTTTGAGATGAACAGGTTTGTAGCTACAGCGGAGCATCCATAGGTAAAAGTTCTGTTGCCTAACACGATGGTTTAGTGAAGGAGACAATGGCGTGGCAATCTCTAGTTGGGTGGTTTGAATTTTAGCGCGTTTTCTGAATACGTTATTGGTTTTTGATTATATTATTTTACTTCCATTATGTGAATAACAAAAACGCGCGGCTCAGTTGGCAAGCAGGCGTTGGAGTTGGATATAAGGGCCTGGGTTCGATCCCCAGGTCCCAATATTTATTTCATATAATTTTGCTTCACATAATCAGGTACACCACAAGTCCTAACTTCCACCATATGCCACCAATATCTGGCCATCAAATTCATCAGCACTCCAGATCCAATGCCTTTCCATTGAAGGTCCATCATGCACCTCAAGTCAACATGTGTATCAGATCCAGTAAAGTCAAACGGGCTTGGATTATTTGGGCCCAGAATTTCAACTTCATACCCCCCACAATTGCTAACAATCAGGCCCACTTCTTTTTCTTTTTCTTATTTTTTTTAATTCTTTAATTTTTCTTTTAATGATTTTAATTAATAAATTAATCTATTTTTTATAAAATCATAAAATCAAGACTTCATAAAAAAATTTAGAATTAGTTTTTTTTTTATTATCAAAATTAATTTAATTTAGTTTAACTTATGGAAATTGTAATTTATTTTCATAAATAAAATCAAATAGAAATTAGGTTAAAACTCTTGATTTAATTTTATTTTCTCTTTTTCTCAAATAAATAAAAATACAAAAAATAGGTCTTTAGATGGAATTAATTTATTTTTCTTAATTAAAATTAATTAGTAATTAGGTCTTCTTTTTATTTAACTATTTCATTATTTTCTTAAAACATGACAAAAACATTTTTTTTTCAATCGCGAATAGGTCTAGTTAAGGGTCAAAACCCTAATCTTCCCGTATTTAATTCGCCGCGCGTTTATTATTTTTGCCAATGTTTTTGTAACTGTTCATGGTTTGTAATAGTTAATTTAGGGCTTTTACTTATCGCTTTTCCCTGGGTTTTTGGCTATGTAATTAATCCCCCTCCCCGAAGCCTTGTAATAACATAGATTTACTTTCTCGTATTTTTAATTCCCGAAAATATTTAACTGTCTAGATGCATGTAATAGGATTGTATGACAAGAATACATGACAAATTAAAATGGTTAGAAAACCCTAATGTGCAAAGATAAATATCTGAAAACAAATCACTCGCACATATCACTCTTAGGGTATAGTTTCACTTCGGGTGCCTTTGGTAAATGATCATTAAGTAAAATATGTTGAGGAAACAGTGAAAGATGGACCTGAAACAATATTGATAATTCGGTCTTTGGTAACTGAATTTGATTTGATTGTTGTTGGGAGACAAGCTGGGATTGAAACACCTCAAACTTGTGGATTGTTACAATGGAGTGAGTATCCTGAACTTGGTGTTTTGGGAGATTTGTTGGCTTCTACTGATGCTGCTGGTAAAGCATATGTCTTTGTTATACAACAACAAAGAACAGCTATGGATATTTAAAATTTTATCAGGATCACTAATTGTAGTTTTTGTAATCATGGGAATTCAATTCATTTTTTTTAGTTATTCATAGTGTTTAAATCCGATTTTTTTTTTGGAATAACTAGGTATTAAATTTTTTTTGTTGCAAATAACCATGTTTCGGAGAAAATTACACAAATAACTATGTTTCAGAGATGGTTACGTTATTTTCTCTGCCACAAAACCTCCGATGAAAATGAAATTATGGCATATTCACTCCATGGAGCGTCTGAAGAGGGAGTTGATGCGATGGCTAGAGGGAGACATCGAGGAGGGGAACAAATTAGAAGGATCCAACGAATACGAACAACAACTTCACTTGCGACAGAAAGACCTAATTTTTGGTTAGAGGAAGTCAAAACAGACAACGACGTAATGTTGATGATGCATGGGTCAAATGAAATTGTTTTAACGGTTGTAATTTCGTAGACGATTTATCGTGTTTTATTTCTTGTTCGCGCAAGGTTTATTGTAACAAATGCTATTAATGTAAAACCCTAATGTTTACAACTTAAAAAAGTAAAGATGTTTTGTAATACAATGTTTATGTGGTTGAGCCAGTAGCCCGATTCGGACAATTTTTGCGATTGTGTCCGACCCGACGACATAAACCACACTTTCTTTCCAGCTTGCCAAGGGAGTCCATTTCAGTTGTGATGCGCTTACTTTTGGGACGGTCCTTTTTATTCCTTCACATTCGGTCATTGTGCCATACTATTTCGCTGTCGTATGTAGGCCAATAATCAGGTTTTGCTATCAAAGGGAAGCTGTTGTTGTATACGTTGAGCAAGGTTTCAGATTTATAAATGGGAGACAGAAGTTGTAGCGCGTCTTGATGAGTATAGGCACACGCAGCAATGACATGAGAGCAAGGCATACGAAAGGCTTGAAACTTGCTACAATCGCACCAATGAGAAGGTAGTATAACTCTATACTCTTGTCTTGGCAGGTCCTCGTTGTGGTCGATTGTCTCTTTGAAAATGAAGTTGTGGCTGTGTCAGTCAAACCGTGTAACCAGATGGGTGTTGGCTTTGGCACTT